TCGATGGCTGTTGGCACTTCCTCCCCAATGAGAAGTGAGAAACACACTTACTGACAAAAACCAAAATCACAAGCATTCATTAATTTCATGTTCTAAAAAGCTGCAGCGAATGGTGATGCAATAAATCCAGCGATATCCTTTCTTGAAGAGAAGCGGAAAATTCAATGTATATAAAAGCAATTCGTTGGTAGAGCCAGCAGCAAAGCAGCCAGTGCCTAGGCTAGTGCATCAAACTGATAAATAAGTATTATACGGTTGGCATAGCAAAAATGTTTCTTTTCAATAAAAACTAAACAGAAATATGTCAAATTTACTTATTGAATTAAAATTGTCATATCTGTTACATTCTTATCATTTTGCAAACCCTGTGCCCGAAGTCAAAAATCGTGTTATAAAATAATTTAGTTGTTGTAACAACCAGCACGATGACCGGCAGACCCACAAAGGACAATTATTCTTAATCAGTATTAAAAGGCGAATCGATCGGCATCGGGATTATACTTTCTGAGATCCTTGGGTTCATACAGATAGACAGACGGACATGGCTATATCGACTCGGCTTGTCATGCTGATCAAGAATATATGTACTTTGTGGGGTCTGCCACGCCTCCTTCTGTGTGTTCCATGTACACTCGCAAAAAATTAATATACCCTTGTACCCTTTGGGTACAGGGTATAAAAAGTATGGTCTATAAGATGCATAAAATGCAGGACCATTATAATAAAACAATATGGTTGGTTCTACCTTGACTTATACATACTACTCAAGCGAGTTTCAAATATTAATTGTTAGCATTTGATTTTTCTTGGCGATACTGGTTGTACTAAACTAGAAGTAATTGGATTTTAATAAGGTGTTCATGAATGAGAAATTAATACAGTTATTGACATAGAACGGAAATAATTGGGTAAATTAAAGAAACTTATGGGTTGATTAAAAAGCGTGACTTGTGACAAAAAAAATTAATATATTGCAATAAACACATATAGACCTAATAAAAAAACTTGCTTCGAAATATTAGCAATCCAATCTGTTGCTGCATAGCTGGGTATTTAAAATTAATTTAGATTCATTGCATAATTGGATTGTGGTTGTAATTCTCTACGCAGCGATAAGGCGGTGGGTAAGTGATTGGTTATGTCTATATTGGTAATTTTATTTAGCGCACAGCTGGTTGAAAATTGGCTGCGATTTAGCCGCGTTATGGCTAGGCGAATGGGTGAATGGGCAAATGATTAAGTGGGCCAAGCGCTAAGAAATGTACTTCACATTGGCAAAAACTGGGAATTAGCGAACAAAGTGGCAGCGCTTAGCTTGTTCACTTCCATTAATCAATTGCCAATCGGATTTGGCAGAGTAGCAGTTTGTTTTTAAATGGGAGCATAGTCTTTAACTCCACAGCCTCCCTCACTTGAATGTATTTGCTTATTTTCCCAAAATTAAAGAGACTGCAATATGCGTACCTTTGATATCCTATACGCTCGCAGGTAACAGAGCCGTGGTTGAAAGGACGGGGACAAGGTAATACGGCAACGAAAGCTAAGCTGATTATTCACACCCCGCAGTATTTGATTCGAATGTGTGTAGATTTTTTGTGCATGTGTGTGCATGGGCCATGACAGATAGCATTAACTAACGGCTCATGTTGACGCCATTTTGTTTCCAACTTTTCAAAAGCTCTTTTCCAGCTGTTTCTATTAGTGGTTTCCGTCATAAGCAACTTATGTGCATTTTGTTGAAACTTGCAGTTCCATGCGATAGAGAATCGTTGTGAATTATTTTGAATTGGAAATTTAGACAGAAGAAGTGAATTGCAAATTACTTGTAATCCTAACCACAAAGGTCCTGCGACTGCATAAGCAAGCCGAAAGAAGTGAACTGTACATCTTAGCACCATATGTTACCAGCAGTTTCTAAAATGCTTAGAGTTAAAATATTCAGGCGACAGGAAAATTCGACCATCTGAAGTAACTGGTACAGATAAAAGCTGCATAATTAGCCGGCAATACTCCAAAAATAATATTAATTGCTTATTGTGAAATCAAATTGTTTGACCTTTCAACTAGTATGTTGTCCCATAAACTCTTTCAAACTATGTGATCTTAAAATATTTACAAGCCGATCTGGCTTTTAATACTAGAGTAGTTCATGTTTTGAATTGTGATGCATTTCTTTGTGAACGATTTTAAGATGTTTTTGTATACCAAGTGTGCAATTTTATTATTGTTTTTAAACACATTAAACAAAGGAATAGCGCAAAGTGTCTCATATTAAGGAAGGTCCAAAAATCACTGAGAGATAAATTTTGAAACTTTTAGTATTAAATTCTATATATGTATATTCCGACATACTTAGTGAATTTCGATTTGCCAGTTAGACCCTTCCGGGCAGATCGAGTAAATTCCACTGTGAAGAGTGAAATTTGTTGTCGCGTTTCTATTCGACTCGTGATATAAATATTGATTAAATGGAAGTTTGTTCCTAGCCGTCCATGAAGAAACGTTGATATCAGTGCTATTGTAAGATAATATAATAAGATAATTATTTTTGAAGAGCAATATGCCAACGCACACCAAAAACGAGGTGAACACTTTCCCATCATTTGAAATTTCAAAGACCTAAACAGCTGAATTTAAACTCGGACGAAACTTTTCGACAACCAACTGGACAAGAGAAATCTCTCTCATACCGATTATCAGGTTAAAGAAATATCGATCACGGTGGCTACTTCGTATAGCTTTTGGATAAGCTTGGAAATTGCGGAAAGACTGCACCACCTGGAAAATTAAGAAATTAAGAATTTTCAATGAAAATAACCCACGAACTGCACTTTGAACTGCTTCAGCACAATCTCTTCAGACCTAGTCGCTAGCAATTTCTTTTTATTCCCTAAGTTGCGCTTGGGGCCAGACATTTTCATTAAATGCGGGGCCTATTTCCTTCGTAAAAAACCATTTTGAGGAGCAGAACGACGAATACTTAGAAGGGGTTGTGAAAAGTGTTGACTTAACAAAAAAAAATTATTTATTTATTTATTATTTAATTGAAAACACTTGAAGCTATGTTAGGCTAAAAACATGTCGGACTGCCCCCGAACATGTTCTTAAGAAGTAATTTTAGTTAACTTTTTAGCCCAGACCAAGGTCTAACTTTTTAACTCACGCTAGTTATAGTCAATTATATTTCTATAAAACTAAAAATTCACTGAAGATACTTTAGGTCAGGGAAAAACCAGGCGGGGAAGCACAATTTACTATCGATTTCGTGAGCACTGAATATTGAAAATGAAAATATATAAAAGAATAATTATTAAGGACAAAACAAAAGAGATTGTGTTGTGAGTAGGGGCGGACTGAATAGGTGACAAATGTGGTGGTCCCCTTTCTCTAATTGAAGGCTAAAAATAATTTATCAAATTGATATTACCCTATAATTAAAAATCAATGCGCACTCAGGAGCTGAGTTTGCTTTGTTCCTTAATTCATTTATGGTCGCACACTTGCCTGTAAAAATATACTCATAAAATGGCGGCATCGGCCAGCCGCTATTAAACACAGTCGTCCACTAACATACCCCTTACCTTTCCACCGACCACAAGAGGGCCAAGTCAAAGCCCACTCGCAATTGTCAACAGCCAACTGAACATATCAATCATTAAAATGTGTGCGTGTGTCGTGTTCCCCATGATCTTTGCCTTCCATGTCTCTGTCTGGCCGTGAGTGCGTGCCTCGCGAGCTGGCAGCTGTTTGTTGTCGGACGTTGGGCTGCGAGTTGTGGGTTGTGGATTGCGGAGCATAAGGACATGCATGGGCACTAAATTCAGCGCCATAAATTATAAATAACTAACTTAGTCCATTGCTCCAAATAACAACAAGGTAGAACCAAAACAACACTTTCCAACTGTCATTAGTAAATTATTCAAATTTCGACAGGGCCGCGGTATACAAACAAAAGCCGTTCGACTACGCCCCCGCATTTCCCATTGCAATCCGATTTCAGAGCTCAGCGCATCTATTAAAACCGCAGGCAAGCAATGACGGCACAGAAAGTTGTGTAAGCCACATTGAAATAAAATGAACATGCCCGACAGCTTATTCAAGTGAATGCAATGCAGGCCATCAATGCATTTGGAAATCGAAAGTTACTCGGTTTTTCTCTAGGATAGCGAAAGCTAATCGATCCTGTTGTCCATAATTATGTTTGAATACAGAAAAGTTTAAAAAAATATCAAAACTGAGCTATTTTAATGGTACAATTAAATATTTGTCGTTAATGGCTTTTCTTTACAACAACTTTCGATTTGAAACTATTCTACTTTGACTCATTACTTCATTTATCGTTACCTTAGAAGATACACTCAATGGCTTCTTAGTTTCTTTGTTGGATCATTTGGGTGTTCTGACTCTTTGCGATACACCACAAAATCTGAACATTTTGAGTTCAAAATAAAACCACCCTAATTTGTGAGGGTCGGCAGACCTAAGATAACTTGGCGACGGACCACCCTTAAGGAATTATCCCATAACAACATCACATGGGACACAGCTAGACAGACGGCCAGAAATAGAGTTCGATGGAAAGTACTTGTAGAAGCCCTAAGCTCCCAAGTGGAGTAAAACAGGAATATAAAAAAAAATTTGTGAGTATAGGATGTGGAGACTCCTTCCCTAGGCAACACGAGATTAATTAATTTGTTAGCGTCGGATTTAAGATAATCTGATTAGTTTGATATAGAAATCACAAAATATTTGTACGTATATTGTTTGCAATTTGTATAAGGATTTTAAAACGGGACAAAAGTTATTATCAAGCGATCTTAAACCTCGGTAACTATTCATTTCAATGATGGATGGAATGAATCGGTGCAGCAATGTTTGGTAACGCACCATTGCCGACAATTTTAATGTTTTTTGTAAAATGTAATTTTAATGTAGTTGTATCCGATTAGTCGTAAGTTAACCCCTTTTAAACTATATACTCGTATATATGTACAACTCACCTGAGATTCTCAATGCGGGGCCGTCTGCATTGCGGCCGATTCCGTCGATGGCTGCGATCCTTTTTACAACGGCAATCGCAGTGCATGATACAGAGTGCGATTGACGAGATGACCGTTATCACAAAGGGCACGGCAAAAAAATGGATGATCACTGCGACCTGATCGTCGTGATTGTAGGAGGTCAGCACGACGGTCTTGTTCTTTCGTGAATAGAAACACGGATAGATAGCACCCTCAATGCCATAGTAGGCATTGAAATTCTTGCACGTGACCGTCGGTGGATAGCCGCAGCCCTTGATGTTGACCAGGAGGGTGGCCTCATCGGACTGCTCCCATTCGGCGGTGTAATTGCTAAAGTCGGTCATGTTCTCCGGAATCGTTATGTTCTGCTCAATGAATGTCACATAAATGTGCACACAGCGATACAGATCGGAGGTACAGCCCTCGCGACACGAACTCCACGAGCAATTGAATATACCGACGAGATCTTCGCGACGCGTCGTTGTGCACAGAGTCGGATTCTCGATGAAGTCGTGGCTCAGCGTCGATATTGCCGGATCAACATACAGGGGCACGAGGAACAGCAGCGACGCACCGGCCGTCACCGAGAAGAAGGCCAGTGTTGAGGTGCTGTAGAAACGCGCACGTTCGCGCCACGAACGAAAGCGCCGATTGCCATTTTTCTTTTTTGGAGCCAGTTCTCGGATTTTACGTAACCGTAACTCTTGTTGTTGCTGCTCGAGTAGTAATTCCGAACTGCCACTCCTCATATTATTGTCCGTGCACACAGGGCGCTGATGTTGCTGATTGTTGCTGCTGCTATTGTTGTTGTTGTTCTTGTTATTTTTCTTGTTGTTGTTTCGGCTGTTTCAGTGTCGTTGTTGTTTCTGTTGCGTCGTCGTTGACGTCGATGTTGCCGTAATTTTCTACGCTGTCGTTTTCCCCAATATTAGAGCGGACTGCCGCAGTCGCAGCTGCTGCTGGCGTCGGGCCTGCTGCCAGGATGGAAAGCCACCGCAGAGGCAGCGACGTGGTCGCCACCCGCGCCGACTTAGGCCTGGGGTGTGTGGCAGTTGTCGCTGTTGTTGTTGTTGGTCTACTGCTTGGTTTTGATGCACTTGGCAGCAGAGTGGGAGCAGACACCAGAGCGGCTGAGAGAGAACTGCAGACGACGCCAGTCGCGACGACGCTGCCTACCGCAACGCGAAAGGCATGGAGACGACGAGAGCAGAGCCCACACGAAGTTCCAATATTCGGACTCGCACACACAACAAACACAAAAGGCGAAAGCGCCACAAGGATGTTTGAATTGAGGTTATGTACACACGCGCACTCGTGCGCTCCGCATGAGCACGAATGAGAGCCACGGAGAGCAATAGATAGAATGAATATGCCAAATCAGCTGTTTAACGGTAAATGCACACACACACAGCAAAAGTTGTAGTATAGCGATAGAAACAGTGCGTACGTGTGGCAGAACGAGATGGAGAGAGAGAGAGAGTGAGCTGGTCAGAGAGAACGAGCGCGCGCGAGTGTGTGCGTTGGGCGAGAGGCTTAATTTACTTTTGAATTTTTGGCACTGCTGGTAACTTTGCCATTTTTCTATTTTACGCGAATAACGCTACTCAGTTTCACGATATTGTTGTTGGTATTGTTTCTGCTTAGATTTCCAATGGCGCCATTTTTATCACTGTGGAAAAAAGCAATGCATTAACGATGCATAAACGATGACAGCAACATCAGGTAACTGTCAGCAGATTTTGGATAGCCTGCCAATTCATCAGTCAAAGTAAATTCAATTAAATTCAATTCATTCTATTCCATTCAGCAGCACCCGCACACAGCTGTTGGTGTAGGTTAGTTTAGTGTTGGTGAGCGAAAGAGAGAAACTGAAAGAGTGAGAGAGTTTGCGCCTATTGTGCAAGGAACCGTCCACGTCAACGTCGACGTCAGCGTTGACAGAGCACGCGCTTCCGGCGCCAGCAGCGACGTCTGCCATGAGCTTTGTCGCCTCAGTGACTGTGTAACCTTTGTGTTTTGTATTGTGGGTGGAATTATTTATGCTACACAATTTTTGTGTGGCAACCACTGTCAGAGGGAGTTGTTGTTGTACGTATTCTTTTTCTTGTTGAACTATTTGCTGAATTGGTTGATTGTTTTTCAATTTATTTACAGCTGCCTAGGTCCTGCTTGTCAGATACTGAAATCAGGCAATGTGCATAATGCACACTATACATACAAGTATATATGTACATATGTATGTATGTTATTCTGGTATCAGAACGATGTGACAAGCGCTTGAAATATCTTCTGAACCCGATTTGGATCAACTCGATTCGCCTGGCCCGGTCTGTCCTGGCCACTCTCTACCTGGCTTTCATCATTTCTTCCTTTTTTCGTTAGTCAAATGGCAAGGCTGCCTGCCCCTCATATGCTAATGTTCTAATGCTCCTCTGTCATTTTCATTACGTCTGCCAAGCCCGCCCGGCAAGTGCTGTCCACTCTGGCAGCTCGTGTTATGTCTGTACGTTCACACATACATACATATACATTCATACATACTATGTGTTTGGACGTATGTATGTGGACAAGTAGTACATATGTACATATATACAAATACACCTTCTTCATATTCTATTTGACCATTCAACTTGTAACGTTTTACTCATGTGTGTGCGTGTGTGTGTGTGTGTATGTCACTTTTGTTGTGTGACTTCGCGTGACTTCAAACGTTGGTCATTTTCGGTATTAGCAGTAAAGTTTACTTTTTTGTTGTTTTTTTGTTCGCTCTATTGCGACAGTTGCACGCATTTTACACACACACACACCCTCACACACACACACCCACCCACTAAATACACGCACAAAGCGAAAAGTGTTGAGAGTGTAGAGGCGTACATGTACGTATGTACATACATGTATGTATGTATGTATATATTAAGAATGATTTCATTTTTATGATTTGTTTGTAAAGGCATACAAATGTATGTATTCACTGTATGTGTATCTATATATTTATATTTATATGCATGTATGCATGTGTCTGTCTATATTCTAATTTGCTCGCATTCTGCTGTTGTTGCGTTAGTGATGGGAGTGATGGAAAAACTGCAACTCCTTTCTCCCATATGCTATTAAGTGAAACTGTGCTGTCTACTCTTTAAATGCCAGCTAGCTCAACCCCATAGACTTAGTTTTTGTCCCGATCAATCATCAGCTATTATTCCTGAATTATGTACGTGCTCGATGCGTGACAATCGGGTGCTCGGGTCAAAGCAGCCCGCTGTCTTTCTTCCCTCCAGATGCAACAATGCCATGCTCTAGTCTGTCGTCATCTGTTCGAGCATTGGCGACTATCGGCTTTAAAGGATTTGATTAAAGGCGGTAAATAAATTAAAATGGAATTCTCAGCTCATGGAATGCTTAAATTTTGTGTAGGCCTGCGTGACTACGCCTACAGCTTCTGGGGGAGGACCCACTTCCTATCACCTTGCTGACCTAACAAACCTTTGATACTGGTATGCGAGTGTGGCATAATGGATGGGAATATACTATGTAGACAAAGTACAACTGTCTCACTAACTTTTGACAGTTGAAATGGCACCCACGCGAATGCCTGCTGTCTACCGATGTTGTTGTTTTCGTTGCTGACGCCCTCTAATCGTTGCTGTTATTGCTGCTGCCCCGCGTAACGCAGATGAACAGAAATACAGGGAAACCGAAAAAGTTGTAAGTTTCGAACCAACAAATAACCATCTAGAATTATCGCTCCTGCTGCCAACGCACTTTACTAATTTACTTCGTTTTTCTATTTTATTATCCGTCGCACAAGGCGCCGTCGATTACAGCACAATTTGGCAGTACTTGCTGCTGGTTTTTCCACAGAATCGACACGAGAGCGCGCGCGCGTGGCCCTGACGTGCCGTCCGAGTGTATGTCCAAAACTGACTCGATTTTAAAAGGCGCAACTTGACTCGTGTGTGGGCAGCGACAGCGACAGCGGCAGCGGCGGCGGTGACGGCGACAGCGACAGCGACAGGGCCGTCGCCTGAGACGTTAGCAGCACAACTTCGTCGAAGTAACCGCGAGCGCCAAGGATGCTCATTTTGACTCGGACTCGGCTCGCGTGTGCGCTCCGCACGCGACGCCACTCAGTGAGGCACAGCAAATCGCACTGCTTGCTGTTGTCTGTGATTGTTGCTGTGGTGGCCAACACTGCCGCTGCCTAAACGGAGCCGCTCCCACGGAAATCAAGTTTAAAGGCTGGACTCCGGATTTTGGGGGTGGCATTTGAATACCCTTCCCAAGGGTCTGTTGCGTTCGGTCTGATATTTGCAACGCTCAGAATATTGCGAGGCAGACCACATGTTATTGCTATTATTGATCAGCACGACGCGCCGAAAGAGCCCCGTCCGTCCGTCTGTTCGTCTGTCTGTTTCTAAAGCTGTAAAGCTATCACTCTGTATTAATATGTGCTCGGTTTTTATACCTAAATCGGACGATTAAATCATAGCAACGAAGACGATAAATACGTAAAACATGTACGTGAATTTGTATGTTATTTACAAGAAGTTAAGTACATTTTCGAGGTTACCGCTCCGAAGCTAGCGCATATGGAGTAAGAGTATTAGGATGACCTTTTCATTTGTCAACTCTACAGCTTCTAATAATAATATTAATGAATAACTACGTGCGAATATTCATGTGAATAAATCAGTTGGTAAGCTTTATAGTACGCTAAGGCATCTGTCTCTGACGCAACATTTCCTTCTAGTCCGACTAAAGCTTCTAATTGCTAAGACATACTTGACACCCTCATTATTCAATGGCATTGAAATCTTTCAAACTCAAAACTCAAGCGCAATTGCAACAGCACATCTAAATGACCTAAGTTATGACTATAACTACTTATATCACACACTTATATCAGTAGCAAGCGCAAAGAAACAAATACAAATAAATAAAATAAAACGAAATTTTGTAACTAAATTGAGTTGAACTGAATTAAATCAGAAATTAATACGTAATGACTAGCGTAATAACTTAAAGGTAATCTTGTACTTGTAGGATAAGTTAATAAAATGAAATAAAAAATGTGTAATGTGTTAGCACACACGCATACTTTTGAATTCTAACATTCTCTGCTTTCACCATGGACGGTCGTGTAGTGGTCCGTGTATCTCCTTATTTTATTAAAACTGAAAATAACTGTTCAAACCGCTTGTAAGTGCTTGAGAACAGTCCTTTGGCTGAGGATATGTATATTGTTACGATATGTTCATTTCTCCTGAGGTTGTTCTTCTGGCACAGTGAGGAGTCGTTGAAGAATGTCCACAATGCTGGCCATAAAATAATGCCGACTCGAAATTTGAAGGTCCGCATATGTATACCCTTGATTTTATTCTGATGTGTTTGTCCCCTCTGAGTCTTCTGTTAAGTTGCGCGGTAAGATATATCTATATCACGCCGTTAGACTCTGTTTAAGACTAGCAGAAGGCAATCCTGTCAATCTTGAGTGCCAACATGTTCTCCATTTCTCCTACCACTCCTTCAAACAAGTAAAAAAGCTAAAGTCGGGTGTCGCGACTTTGAAATACATTGTACATATGTTTAGAATAATTATAGAAATTGAAAAAAGTAAGAGAATTAAAAAAAATTTTTTTGATCGATTTTACCTCTCTCGGTATTCGAACTCACGTAAAGGGTGTATAATTGCACATTTGCATAGCAATTGCGTCTATGTGTGTGTATGTATGTTTATGCGCGTCTA